AATACTACAAATAAATCAACTTCGGAAAACCAGTAGTGGTTGGTGCTGAGGGATGCCAACCAATCTCCATTGTGAAAGTCCCAACAGCTAAGTGTAAAATGGCAAGAACACATATTGTTTATGTGACAGGAAAGCTGGAAGGCCAAAAGTGCAACTTTGTCATAGATTCTGCATCTCAGCAAACCCTTGTGAGCATCAAGGTGCTAGATCACAAAGAAGTACCAGAAGCCATACAGAAGCTCTGTGGTGTGACAGGACATTATGCAAGGTTGTGGGAACCAGTGTGGGTAACTATTGATTTCATGGGTATAAAGGACAGACACAAAGTATACTTGGCTGATATTGAAGACCCATGCATATTAGGGTTGGACTACTTACTACCGAGGAATTGTGTAGTTAACTTTGATAAAATGACGTTTGTAAACAACAAAGGCCAAATTCCGGTAAGTATTGCTGCATCTGTTGATTTGCATGTCACAGCACTTAAGTCAATTACAATATTCCCTATGTCAGAGAAGATAATTTTGGGTAGAATAAAAGAACATCCCCAAGAAAGCCCGATGCTTGTGGAAGCAGTGGAAGACCCATTTAGGCCAGCGGATGTGAAGATTGGAAGCTCACTTGAGGTAAGTCAACAAATAGTACCCATAACAGTGGCTAATTTCTCTAAATGTGAGAAGACACTTAAGAAAGGGGCATTGTTGTGTGTGTGCCAGGAGGTAGAGCCAGTTGATGTTAAGGCAAGAAATACGACCATAAAGAAAAGACATCCTTTCCTAGAACATTTAACTGACCTCTATAAGAAGGTATAGTCCATTTGTCATCATCACAGGCTCTTCAGGTAAGGGAACTTTTGGAGAATTATGCAGACGTCTTTTCAAAAGGAGATCATGACCTCGGCTGCACAGACCCCGTGGAACACAAAATAAACACAGGCAATCGCCGTCCAATAAAGATTCCTCTCAGGAGAATAGCTCCGGCAAAGCTACAAGAGATGGAGAAGATCATGGATGGCCTAATTAATGGAGGGATAGTTGAGAAATCAGATAGTCCCTGGTCATCTCCCGTCATGTTAGTCTACAAAAAGGATAGGAACAAACGTTGCTGTGTAGACTTCAGGACTCTTAACAGTATAACCGAAAAGGACTCATAACCACTGCCAAAT